ATGTGACAGGGATCAGAAGGCAAGCCCATTCCTGGGAGACATCCTGTTCAAGGACTCCCTTGTGGGTTTGAAGAAATTTCCTGAGACCTTCACTGAAGTGTAAGTTTTTCCTTCTCTTTCCTTCCCAAGGTTAAACCTATACTGCACTCTGATGGTGCTCACCACCTCCATCTCCTTGCTTCCCTCCCTTTCTCTGTTCCCTCACAGGCGTTTCCCTTAATAAATCTCCTGCACATCTGATCTTTTCTTGGCTTCTGCATCATGAAGGACCCAGAATAACTCAAATACTATTATAACTCTTCACATTGTAACTCTCAAGTGAATTTATTCAAATTGTGCTGCAGTAGGAGCAAAGGGCAGAATTAACTTAAGGGGATTCATTTTCCCTTTCCATTCCTAGTACATTTATGATAACTTTCATTCAAATTATAGCACACTCTGTCTCCAAGGGCAAGCTTGTGCCTGTCTCTTGATCAGAAGCAAAGAAGCAAGAATATGTTACTTCTTTTGACAGGTGGTCAGCCCTACCTTAGAGTTATGAAAGCTTTCATGTTCTCCTCTGGCATATTTGTGATATTAACCTGGGCTTACATTTTTTTTTCTGCTTGTATCACAGGTGTGGAACACAGTTGGTGGGAGCTGGGAATAGTCTAGTGATAGAGGGTGCCTTGGAAAGCATCACTGTGCCTACAGAGATAGCTATGCTGAAGTTTCTTCCTGCAGTAAAGGACAAGGGGATGGATCCTCTCACATTTCTAAACTCTTTTCTCTTTCTCCCGCCCATACATCTGACATGATGTTTGGTTTTGTGTAAGACTTCAACTGTCAGGGAGACAGTGGGATTAAGTTAGTTGGATACCAAGAATGGATGCTTTTTTTCAGGCTCTGAAATATCAGCACCAATGTCCTTTCATTGCATCTATGCCAGTGTGGTGTAAATATTTTCATATGCAGTCCCATGCAGGTAGCAGTGGTGATGGACTATGGGAATTGGAGGTCATGGATAGTTAACAGCCTTTAAGAAAAATCTTACAGAGAAACAGTAAGTTAATGTCCCAATCCTTTGGAATCAGTAGCTATTATTAGTTACTTTTTTCTACAAATGTATATAACAGTTTTTTGAGTGGTACTGGGGTTTGAACTCAGGGACTTATGCTTCCTAAGCAAGTGCTCTATCACCTGAGCTACACTACCCCCCCTTTTTTTTTTACTTCAGTTTTTTTTAGATATGGTCTCACTTTTTTTGCCCAGGACTGGCCTCAGGCCACAATCTTTCTACCTGAGTCTCCAGTAGCATGGATTATAGACATATACCACCTTGTCTAGCTTGTTGGTTGAAATGGTGGAGGCAATCTTGATAACTTTTTGCCCTAGGATGTCCTTGAGCACTGATCCTCCTGATCTCTAGCACCAAAGTAGTTTGGACTTCAGGCATGCACCCAGCCAACAAATAAGTTTTTTGCTTCAAAGCTGATGAGACACCAAAGTTGATTTTGGGAGTCAGACAGCTGAGGAAAGTAAACCAATGAATAGCATTTTTCAGTTTCCTTTTACTCAAATGCAGACTGAGTGCTATGGTAGAGACATAAAAGAATCTGGGTTATTTCTATGACAATAAAAATCTGCTGCAAGTATACTCAAGTCAGGAGGAAAATCCAGGAGCCAAAGGGAGCCTCTGCAGTTGGGGTGGGAAACCCCTCAGGTGCTTGTTCCTTATTTCTGTCAAGCTTGGTTATTTGGGTTCCCAGGGGGCAGCAAGGATAGCCATAGCCATCTCCAGGAACTTGAGGACCCAGCATACATTAATGCAGCACAGTGAGCAAGGCCACTTATAGGTCACTGGCAAAGTGCTCATATGCGTATTCTCATTTAACAGTTTTGGTATATCCTTTTGTTTTTATTTTATTATTATTATAGAGGTGCTGGTGATCAAACCCAGAATCTCATGCATGCTAGGCAAGTGCTCTACCCAATGAGCTACAAAAAAAAAAAAAAAAATCTGGGAACCATTCTCATTTGTGAGAATAAATCTCCATTCCAGATCTTAAGAATATATGGGACATAGGGAAGATGCCAACACATGTAAGAAAAGACCTATAAGAATATAATCTTCAGCTAGAAATGCTAATGAGAATGGAAAAGGAAGAAATGCCAAGAGAGTAAGAATAGTACATAGAAAGTTAGTAGCCTGTGTTGGGCACCAGTGGCTTACACTTGCAATCCTAACTATTTGGGAGGCTGAAATCAGGAGGATTGCAGTTCAAGGCCAACCCAGGCAAGAAGTTCATGAGACCCCATCTCAACCAAAAGCTGGGTGCAGTGGTATATTCCTGTTGTCCTAAGCTATGTGGAAGGTTGAGATTGGAAATGTCATGGTTTCTGGCTAGTCTAGGCAAAAAAGTTCATAAGATCCCATCTCAGAAGAAAAAAGCTGGGCGTAGTGTTCCAAGTCTGTCATCCCAGTGACTTCAGGAATCATAAAATAGGAAGATTGTGCCCAGGCTGGCCCTATCTGTAAAATATCCAAAACAAAAAGGGCTGGAGGCATGACTCAGTGGTAGAGTGCCTGCTTAGCAAGCACAAAGCCCTAAGTTCACACCTCAGTATGGCCAAACACACAAAATAGCTGGTAGCCTGAAGATTGCCATTGGATAGATGACTATTTTTCAAGTGCAAACAGATTTCAGTGTACAGGGAAGTGACAAAGAACATACCAAAGGGACTGACAGATGGATAGAAATCCTCTGACACCAGCTGGTATCCTGTAAAATGAAAACTTGTTAAAGCTACCAAATGAATAGGAGCACAGAAAAGCTTTCAGTGCCATATGGCTCTTCTTGAAGTGTTTCCCAGCATAGGAGCAAACACCATAGGCCTTGGGAGAGAACACTAGTTAGCAATAGCCTCTTGATCAGCTCTTCATTCAACAAATATTGTATACCTATTAGACAGTAAGCTTAATTCCCAGATGTGGAGAGACCACCAGAGAGCTTTGCTTTTGTGCTACACCTTTAGAAGCAAGAGAAGGCGAAGTGTGCGAGAGTCATGGGCTAGAACTGGGCCATGTGCTGAGATGGACACATCAGGTGGATGCAAATGCTTCAGGGCTTGTAAGCCATGTTAAGGGTTTTGGTTCAATTGCCTTAGTGAATGTGAAGCCACTTAAGGATTTTTATTTGAGTTTATTACAAATTTTTTCAAAGTAATACATGCACAAGGTAAAAAAATTAAATAGTACAGAAGGACTTGAAATGAAAAACGCAGTTTCCCATACCACCCTTTCCTACTTTCATTCCCTAGATGCTTTTAACAATATCTACTTTTGGATTTTCTGCTAACTATCTTCCTAAATTTAAATAGTATATTTGAACAATAATTTTTTTGTCTTATTAACTTTAGACCGTCTGTAATAATTCTGTTATAAAAGATAAGGATTTAACTTACACTATCTCCAGTTTTCCTTTGCCCATCTTCTTCCAAATGTTTGATAAATGGTATTTTTAATACTTCTACTGGTTTAATGTATGCCACCAATCAACACACTAATTATGTAGTTCTTGTCCTAAAAGACTTAATCTTCTCATTTCCACTTTGAAAATATAGGTAGCCCTACTCTTCCTTCTGCTTCTATTCTCCCAACTAATTCTCAACCTTTTTGTCTCCTTTTTCTTTAACATGTCAGCATTGCTTTCAATCTCAGTTCTGAAAAAAAAATTAAGCCTTTCTCACTTCACTGATAGAGCAGAACACTGAAGATCAATAAGTGGCATCTACATTATTTTGGCTATGAAAATGCTTTTTTACTGAAGCCAAGTAGAAGTCAAGATGCTTTCTTCCCTACACACCTAAAATAATGATGATGTACCACTGATGTAAAGGGAAGAGACCTACTGCCAATGTCAAAGTGAGTCTCTTATTACACTCTTTGAGTAATCAAAAACATGCCCCATTTTATTTTGTATCATCATTGGACCTGAATTTCTTGACTTTTTTTTTTTAATCTTTTTTCGGTTGGTATTGGCTAAAGAACATGTGTCTCTCATATTTCTAATCATCCCAGATTCTCCATGATTCTGTGGCACAAAATGCACATTTTTGGCAGTCCACAACAAGACTATGAGCTCTCATGAAAAATGGGTCTACTGGATAACTGTAACTCTAGAGTAAGATATCCTTTGTGATAACTTTAACTCTAGAGTGAGACATCCTTTGGATAACTATCACTCTAGAGTGACACATCCTAGGTAAGGTCCATTGTTTGCTTCCCATTTCCTCCTCTTTCCTAGTTTTCATTTTCATTTTTCTGGAGACTTTCCTAAAGGTACTTCTTCAAAAAGGGTGTAAGGGAGGTAGAATTTTTTTAACACTTGCCTGACAGAAAATGTCTTTATTTCGACATTACTCTTGATAGTCTGTCTTCTATGGAATTCTGACAATCAGAAGCTATGTGAACACACTGCTCCCTTGACTTCTAGCATTCAGTACTACCAATAAGAAATCTGCTGCTAGTCTATTTCTTAACCCTGTTTTGTTGAGCTAATTCTGATGACCTAATTTTTTCCCCTCCCCCTGCTAGAGCACTTTTTATATCTTCTCTCTATCCTTAGTATTCTAAAATTTCATAAGATTGTGTTCTAGATCTAGGTTGTATTGGGCCCCCTCAGTCTGGAGAAGTATTTCTTTCTGTTGTTCAATTCTTTGTCTTTTTATTTCATAATCCATGTTTTCTAGGTTCTCTCTTCTAGAAACCTAATGGTTAGATGTTATTGATTGTCAATGTCTCTTTCATTCTTTGATATTTTCTATTTCTTTTTTACTCTCTATCTGATGAAATCCCTTTCATTTTATTTTCAAGCCTGTCTACTGAATACTTTTGGTAGTCTTATTTTGCTTGCAAAGGGTTCTTGTTATTCTCAGAGTTTTCTCTTTCTTCGTAGTATCTCATTACCATCTTACAAATACACCTCGAATCTCTCTGAACGTATAGACAGAATGTTAAGTTTTTTTTTTCCCACATTCACTTTGTTTCTTCCAGACTTTGTAGTATTTCTCAATCCCCTTAATTTTCTGTAGCTATTTTCCTTATGCTTCTCCCCTGATCTTTCTTCCTCCCTTCCATGGCTGGGAATTCCTAGCTGAAAATTCGTATTTAAACATCAATATTAACTACTGACTTTTATAGCAGTTGTTATGGGTTTCCTATGCAGTTGTGTGGTCAGATCTGTTTCTACAGAACATCTCTTCTGTGACTAGAAGCCCTGGGCACTTGACTAGGGGTCAGGACTCTCAGTTCAGAGTTACCTGGTAGACTTGGGGGCACTTATTTCCCCCAAAAAAGAATAATTTTATTTAGAGTACCAACTCTTACCTCTCCTCAGGTGGTTTATTCAAGTCCTTTATACAAACAACAACAACAACAACGATAAACTGATACCAATAATAGGTTGCCTGTGTTCTGTGCACAAGGGGGGGCAGAGTAGGACAGGGATCAATTTACAACTGGTACAATTCTTTAGTAGACAGACTTTTTCGGTGCTCAAGTCTCTTTGGGGTTACGTTGTTCAAATCAATTTATCATCTGTCTGAAAGGTACCTTCACTCTTCAATTCATTATCATGCTACAGCCACATTCTCTCTTCCAGGAATGTGTGGAGATCTCCAACCAAATGCCTACAGTTTTCTTTGCTGAGACATGTCAATTCTCTTTTGTGTTTCTTGACTTCAATTTCAGTGGGGCCTGGAGAAGGAAAGAAAATAAACTTACATGTTCAGTCCATATCTTAAATTGGAAGTCCCACTGGAGGCTTTTAGACAGGTGACTAACATGGGTAATGTTATATTTTTAAAAGATCCCCCAGCCTTTACTGCTGAAAATGGGATTAAATGAGACAAAAAAAATGGATAAAATTTTATTCTAAAAGATTGAGGACACAATTTCCTTTCTGAGAACATGCAGTCTCTGGGACTTTTGGGAGTCAGGCACTTTACCAAAATAGTACACTATTCAAATATCTAGTAAACTAGAGAATGTTTTTATGAGGCTCAGAAGAGAATTACTAAAACCTGAATAACCCAGAGCTTAAAAGACTTACCTGATTCTAAATGGCTCACTCAGCACTGCTTATTGGGGCACATTCAGGAGCACATCTTAAATTCTTCCTTTGTATTGGCATTTGGGATAAATAAAGGGACTTTTTGTTCTTCTAAACTTAGATAAGGGGTGAATATACAGAGTCAAAGCTCTGGAAGTAGGGACAGGAAGGTCCTTCTGTTTGCTGATTGGTTTCTTTATTTACTCATTTATTTGGTCATCCAAAGCACTGTAGTTATGAGCACCCATTTTGTAATCAGAATGCCTGGGTTCAAATCACAGATCTACCACTTATTAGCAATATAGCTTAGATAATTTCCATAATCTCCATAAAACTCAGTTTTCTCATTCCTAAAATGGCAGTTCTCACCTCATAGGATTATTGTGATCATTAAATGAAACAATCTATACAAAGGAACCTGGCACATACTCAACACCCCATAATTGATAGCAATTATTGTCTTCAACCCACCCAATTAACAATTAAGTAAATAAAATTGTATATTAATATAAATACAGAAGAAGAAATGAGCTAAAAGAAAACTAATTGCATGTATACACCATCAATCTTAGAGACTCAACTTTTGTTAAAACTATAAAGAAAAAGGAAGCTCCAAATAAAAGTAGCAGAAATCAGGAGAGTCTTTGAATGTTTCCACATTCAAAATTAAGTTTTGGTTAGTTCTATCCAATTATCTTATTCCAAATTAAAGTTCTCTATATGTGTGTGGTAAATGTCTCTTGACAGCTATTGTGTCTTGAATCTGTGTCACTCTGAAAGTATAAACACCAAAAGGAAACTGGGATGTCTACTGTTTGTTAAGGGCAAACACCAACTTGTTCTGTTTTTTGTCAAAATGTCCACTCTAGATTTGATCAAAGAAGGAATGTGGCCTGAAAGAACTGGGTAAAGAGTCCAAACCTAAGTAGCTTTAAAAAATCTCATTTTGAAACCAAGAGTGGTGGTATATGCCTATAATCCCAGCACTTGTGAAGGAGGCTGAGGCAGGAAGATTGCAAGTTGAAGGCCAGCCTGGGCTACAAAGTGAGTCTGAAGTCTTCCTAGGCTACATAGTGAGGCCTTGTTTCAAAACACCAAAATAATCAAACAACAGTCCCTCAAAAATGCATTGTGAATTTACAGTCTCTTCTTTAGAACCACAAAGCAACATACTAGAATGTTTTCAGAGGTTACTGTGTAAAACGTAGGATGGGATAGGATAGAGAACAATTATGTACTTACACATCCTAAAAGATGATTTTGAATGTTTTTACCATGAAGAAATGACAGATGTTTGACCTGATTTAAGCAATACAAAATGTGTACCTGTATCAAACATCATGATGCCCCATTAATATGTACAATTTTTATATTTTTATGTGTCCATTTAAAAAAAAAAGACTTCATCTGCAAATACCATCTAAAAATGAAGTCTAGCTCTAAAATGATACTGAGTTAGATAAAACAGCAGCTGATTTTTCTCAACATCTACTAAATGCCAGGTACTGCCCTAATCACTTTCACAGATAGTACAGAATTAAGTCCTCACAATAATCCTATGAAGTAGAGCCCATTTTATAGAAGGAGGAAACTGAGTTACAGAGAAGTTAAAGAACTTGCCGGGGTCATACAATTAATAGGTGAAAGACCCAGGATTTGGACACAAGGTGTATACTAGCAGAAATGAAGGTCTTAAACTCTAAGCTATGGGAAAAGAATGGGAAGTAATAAGCTCATTATTCTATGGACCACCATGGAATGAAACAGTCCCTTAGACGGCATGCACTGTATGGTTCACAAAATTCTTCAAAATCATCAATCCAACTTTCCATGAAAACTCTGTAAAATGGATTTTTAGTCCCATTTTACACAGAAAGAAACTGAGTACATAGAACAAATGATTTCCCAAGAGCTAGCCTTAGTTCTAGGTTATTTCCACTGTATCATGTAACTTTTCAAGTGCTTTAAAACTACCCAAGATGCTAAATACATGAGTTGTCACGGAGTTGTCTGGTTGGTATGGTAAAGCTGTGTTCCCATGGACTTCTATGGTAAGGTTTTTGAATAAGTGATTAATGAGGATGTCAAAATAAAAATCATCCTCTATAAGCTATGGGTTATCGACCAAGGGCCAGTATAGAAAACAGGTGCCCAACCTTTCAGAACTGGGTCAACATAGAGGTAGGAGGGACTCTGACAACTGAGAGCAAAGAAGTAGGGCTCATAAACAAAAGGCCTTGTTCAGAAGAAATTCTGACTCAACCCACTTCCTAGAGACAGAAGTTGGTAATAGGCACAGGACACTGATCTAAGAGGACAAGGCCAGAACCCTAGAGGACAGAGGTAGAGGAGTAAATCCCCACCTCTGCCTACCTTCCCAAACCTCTCTACCTGCCACCTCGATGGGCACTCCTTACATCTGTGTGAGGAGGTACAATTTCATAATATTTTCCTTCCATTCAGGCAGATAGGCCAGGCTGGTAGCCACTTCCTTCTGGATTGGCCAGGCCCAGGCCTCAAAGAACGGAGCCAGATTCTTCTGCACTTGGTGGGAGAACATCTTAACCCACAGATTCATTTTGTCGACATTGTCTGTGGGCAAGTTGGTCTGGTTCCTGTACTCAGTGAAAAGACGGATGAACGGCTCCCAACCAAAGGCCTCTTGGAGCTAGAAAGAGAAAGATGCGAGCAGGTAAGACAAATCTACAAAAAGAGCAAACACTCTAAGTGAATTTAATGTAGTTAAACACCTGAACATTAACTAGCTTCTGACCCATCCCTGACCTTCTCTCCTGGTTTCCATACTGGTCTCATGCACTGCTCTCATACCTTCTAATCTCAAGAAGGCCCTTGGGGCTAACACAGCTCTTGGCACAAAGCAGATGTTCAATCAGTGTTGATTACAACAATAATTGTAATGATGTGTGTATCAATGTTTTCTACAAATAGCATTATTCATCTATCTCATGTGATCATGAATGTAGTAAGGGAATACTGCAGGAGGGTTTAAAATCTGCAGACATGAAACACTTTTATTATCTTTCAAAGTTGTGAAGTTAAACCCCAGCAATTGGGAGACCCTCACTCCTATCCTGACATAATGAAATTCTCATTAATTATAGTTCTGTATGACTTCACAAGGCTACTAAAATGGCCTTTAGGGGGAAAAGTGAGTCAGGTTGAAGCAGAAGACAATAGGCAATCTAACTAAAATTAAGAGTAAGTTACAATTTTAAAAAGAGGCAGCTTTCCTGAGACCATTGGAAAGAGCCCACGTTAGCCAGAATGGCAGGGCTTTTGAGTTAAGAGGCACTTGGGCAGTCTCTGAGGCCAACTTTATTTTAGTTTTGGATGAGGAATGTTTGCTCCTGGGGAAAGCAGTCCAACAAGGTGAAAGTAGAGCCTCGCTGGCCATTTCACATCATTCTCCTGGCAGTGAGAATAGACAGAGAAAAACTCAAGCAGGTGGAAGAACCAGAATAGACTGTGCCTGGCCTGGGTCCCAGTTATGCCACTCCCCAGAGTGAGCTAGGACCTGATCCAAGCACTGAGACGGGGAACTGGGGCACTGAACAATAGTTCAAAGGCAAAGCCAACCTCCAGGTCCAGAGCGGTGAGGAATCTTGGATTGGCTACATATGGTAGAATCCAGAGCACAGCCAAGGTGTAATCAAGAGATGATATACTCATCTAAGGAAACAAACTGGTCATAAATGTGTAGTGTATGTGAGGAGGGCTGTCAATCACTATCACATGGAAGAGTTCAGCACCAACTGCAGGTATGCCTGGCTTTAAATCCAGAGAGAGTAAGTGTATTTATAACACTCTATTTGCCCTACCAGTTTTAAGAGTTCTCAGTGCTTTCTACCTAATCTCATATGGGGATACGAGTGGGGCTATTAATCCTTTTTAAGGTCATGCAGAGTGATGCATTGAGAAGTATCACCAAATGGGACTGAGTGTGAAAGATGCAGTGGGAGCTCTCCTGGGTTGCTAAAATATCATCTGACAATATGACCCTGGTGGTGTCCACAGTAGAGGGCTCCTATCACCCTCAACTCTTGCACAATACCTGCAAGTATGTTTCCAGTGCAGTCCATGCATTCCAGTTCTTCACATTGGGCCCCTTGCCCAGGTAAATTCGGACTCTCTTCTCCCGAACAGGGGGCCACAGGGCAATATTGGCACGGCCTCGAGGAATGCCCAGGACTGTTTCATGAACGTAAACACACCACAGATTGCAGGTGGCCTCGGTGGTGTGAGGTGGGAACTCCCACTCCTGCCGCTGCTGGTTGCGGCCCAGCTCGTGGACAGGGCCCCACAGCCCCTTGGTCCTGATAAGCTTCTCATTGATGAGCTCCTGCACTGACTCCAGGTGGCACATGATGGGGTATCCTGCATGCATCCAACCTGGAAATGCAGGAGGGAAGAGAAAAGTGTCAGGGTCCACCCAACCATCTCAAAAAGTTCTCTGAACCTTTCCTCTTCCAAAACCCCCAGTGGCCCTGGCACCCTGAATGCTTGGAAGGGTAATATAAACTCAGACCACCCCCAGTCTTTCTTCCTTTCCTTTTCTGCTTTCTTTCTTTCTTTCCTTTTTTTTTTTTTTTTTTTGGATACACTCTCTATATTGCCCATGATGCCTGGAACTTGCTATGCTGTCCATACTAGCCATGAACTCCTGATCTTCTGGCTTCACTCAGCTTCTTGAGTGAGAGATTATAGGCATGAACCACCATACCTAACAGGCTTTCCTTCTTATGCTTATTCTGCAATGGTGCCTTCATCTTTACTCTGGCCTGAACCAGGATGGCAGTGGAGGGAGACAGGTTGCAAATGGCCATCTGTGCTACTATTTGAGTTTTCTGTTTTAATAAGAGTACCTAGTTCATATGAACCTATGTCATTATATCCTCTTCTCAATGTTCAGAGCTCTCTGAGAGTGGTTCCTACTCTCATTATTTCAATAGAGTTGTCCACATTGATAATTTACAACTTTACAGTGATTATCCATGCACGTCAAGAACATGAGGGTCTAGAGATATTTCCATGTTCTTAAATGTTTGGATAGCCTCCAGTCCCATCTTTTAGGCTCCTTGACCCACAGGTAAAGAGCTCTTTATTCAGGGCCTTCCAACAACTCTGAGGTAGGTCAAAACTCTTTGCTATGTTTACTCACTCCTCAAAATTCCCCTGTGGGGACTCAGGGAACATCTGAGTCTTGATGTCTTGGTAATATCTCTCAACATACTATCCTAAATTGTTATTTATTTCACACATATTTTTCATTTCCACTTAAAAACCAATAAATACAGTTACATGTCTTGTTAGCAAATCACTTTTACTCTCCTGGCTTCCTGCTGCATGGCTGTTGAAAGAATAAAGGCACTTGGGGCAGTGCACACAGAAGTTCGCTCAGAGCACCCACCAACTGAGATCTGCACGTCGGCCACAATCCTCTGAGGTAGACGCAAAGGGAAGGGCTCAGCTCCCAGCCGAGCCACAGCCTGCATCACCTCATCCCAGAGGCGGAGCAGAGGCTCAGGGTTCTCCAGGGCACGCAGATTTGCTGTCGGCACAGTCAGGATGATGTTGTCAGTGGCCAGCTCGCCCCAGGGACCTGGATGCTCCTGGATACGCCTTTTCCACTCTTCCTGGGTTGTCTCCCCTAGAAAGAAAGGCAATGGAGCTTGAAACACACTTTCTGAAATCCTTTACATTAAAATATAAAACTTGGACCCCAGGAGATAAACACCAACATCACAAACAGTCCCAGCCCTTCTCTCTGTCCTTCTATAAAGTCTCCATGTATATGGTTCGGTCTTTTTTCTTGGTCCAAAGCAGAATCTAAGGAAGCCACTTTCTGCCCTCCTCTAGTCTATGGTTGTCTTCTGCACCAAGTAGCCACAGTTGCCTGGTCATTCTCAACTCTTCTCTTCTCCCAGAATGCTCTCCACAGCTTCCACTTACCCAGTTTGTAATATGGAGCATGCACAGCCCCCTTAACGGTGATGGGCACAGAACCCAGCTTGCTGCTCTGAGGTACGATGATATAGAGCAGGCCACCCCAGAGGCAGGTGATCGATTTCGTGGGTTTGTCCAAGCAGCATCGGTTAATCACAAGTGGGCCTCTGAACAGCTTGCTGGCCCTGGTCAGGTCATCCGTGTGGCAGCCAATTTGTATCTGGAGCAGAGAAATCCCACCCCCCCACGCAAAGTCACCACAAGGAGAGTATGGGTGGAAGAGGAGCGCTCAGGAGGTAGGGATATAGGAAGGGTCATTAGGCCATGGCTTCACACATCACAGATGAGTCCTTTGAGATACACCCATCGAAATTAGCATTCCTCATGGTCATATGCACTGAATTATGGGCAGAAATTCTCACAAGGGATTCAAACAGTCCACAATGGCTTGTGGGGAGAGAGTAATAAGAGGAGCAATAGGTATAATCAAAAAGGCTCATTCTGAGGACAGCCAACTCCCACAAATGGTGCTTTGGTGTCTTTGTAACAGAGAATTCCAGGTTGCCCATTGCATGTGGCACAGAGGGGACCCTGTTCTTTCCTGAGAGAGGGCCCAATATGAGGCACTGTGATCCAGCTGATGCCATGGAGGACTGAAGCAATTCCTTCCATTCTGCAAGTGCCACCTATTCTGCAAGGGCCCCCTTCTAGAGGGAGGGGCAGAGCAGGATGACTAATTTTGCAAATGTGGAGCAATGGAGCAGCAGGTGGACTTGAGCAATTATGGAACAGACTTTAGTATTGTGGAGAAGAGACTGGAATCAGAAAGACCTCGTGCTACAATGGGAGAAGTATACCTGGATGAAAAGTGAACTAAGACTTACTGAATACCTACAGAGGAGTAGGATACCTTCAATTTGAGAGCTCTGCACTATAAGTCAAAAGCACAACATTAGAGGCAGAAATTGGTTAGTTTTGAGTCTAAGCTCTGAAATGTATCAAATCTATCCATTTCGCTTTTCTGCAGTTTAAAAATGGGGTAAAAATACCTGCCCTGTGTTGTCAATATGGTTTTATGGGGACCAAATAAGATGCTGACTAGGAAGGCAATATCACTAGGATTCCCTGTCCTAGGGGGAGATGGGGTACGGCCTCACCTTCAGATCAGCAGAGGCTGCGTCTTCAGGCAATGAGACTTCTATAATTTGTCTTCCAGGTATGTAGAGGCCGGTACTCATCCAGCAGTATCGGGTGCCTGCCAAAAGCACAGGAAGGGCAGGTTTTGTCCTTCTCCTTTCAGCACTTTCACAAACCCTTCCTGTGCCCTGCAAACTTCTACCCTTATGTGCTGCCCTGACTTAACTCTTTGAAAAGGACCCAAACCTCAGCCTCTATCTTCTGGAAAGTATATGGCAAAGGATAGATGGAGATGGCCTTCAAGAGGTCAGATGCCCAAAAACTGCGGCAATCACATGCCCCTCTTCCACCAGTCCCCAAAACACTAAGCTCACACCCTCCTTCCATACCTGGATTGGTGCAATCGACTTCCACGGTGATGGGAGACTCTGAAGGGCGCAGATAGGTACTGCTGTATATGTCTTCAATTTCTGGGACTAGCAGCGAGAGATCACTTCCAGAGTGGGCCAAGCCCGTGGCCAGGGAAAGCATGGCCCCCCTGCAGCAGTCATTGATAACGGGGTTCTCTCGGGTGGCCACTGGGAGCCTATAGCGGCTCAGCAGCTTCCGCAGGAGTCGGTGCACCGACAAGTAGGCAGGGATCTCTTCCGCGGGAATCTGGAGGAAAGCTGCACCGTCTGGCCCCAGCTTTGCCAGCCAGCCCTTCTCCACATTCCCTCTCTTCCTGCCCATTATCACCTGGAACTCGGCCAGAGTGGAGCGGAAGTGATAGGTTCTTATCCCCGCTTTAGGGGTACGGAAGGGCCCTGGGTTGAGGCTTTGGCTGGTGATGCTGATGCCAAAGGGGTTGAGGAGCAGGTTTCCAGGGAATCGAGCCAGGGGGGACACGCCTGGGTTCTTGAAGGCCCACCACCAGGCTTGGGCTCCAACAAACAGCCCGCCGCCCTCTGCCACAAACTCCTGCAGCTCCTTGACCCCCACGTCACTCACGGGTTCAAAGCAATAGACACTCGCGTCACTGGTCAGACTGGGCTCAATGCTGGTGTCTATGCCTCCCACCGCGAGCAGGCCGCTCAGTGTTCTCAGCTCGGTCTGCACCACGATTTTGCCTCGGCGGCCCCCATCCAGCCAGCGGACAGCATTGAGCAGAAAGGGGCCCAGTTTACCCACTGTGAATAATACTTTATGGCCAGTCACAACCACCCGGCCCCGGCCATAGCGGGCAGCCGCTATAACACAGCCATGGTAGGAATCTAACCCCAGGGGAAAAGCCAAAGCCCCGTGCACGAGCAGCTGGGATGGGAAGCAATCCGAGTTGCTGATGTCCAGCTCTGAGATACCATGCAGGAGCTCCTCTCTGTCCTCGGAGAGGTCGTCTTCACAACTGCAAAAGACACATGTTTTCTGGATTAGAGGGAAGGCAGGGCCCCTATAATTGCATCCAGTACACAGCAAGGGCTACAGATGCATAAGCATGCTTTAACTAATACCCCCATTTTTAGCTCCTGCAGGAGAGCTGTAGAAGGTTTCAGTATTAATTTTCTGCTCTGCTCATTCTCAGAAAGGAAGCCCTGCTCTGTTTACCTAATATTATATATTAAATATTCTAGACTTAATTTCATTTTTATTTCAGCCCTTTAAACATCAGATAAAGAAGGGAATAGGAAATCATGCTTTCAATTTTATAAGGAGTCTCATTTATAATTCCATACAGCTAATTTTCTACAAATAAAGTCTTTGAGAGCTGAGTTATTCTCTCAACAAGTCAATCAGGGGAGCAGGCCAGGTTCAAAGAAGCTCTGGTTACCTGACCCAAGAGGGCTTGTTTGCCTGTATCTAGGACTCCACCCATTCATTGCCTGCCCAGCAGGGGGTAAGCATATCCATGCTATGGGGTCTTACTCAGCATCATGTGTTTACTTTTCATGGATAACCCATTCCTAAAAGACTTCAGCATACCAACAAGACCGGATCCCTTGTGTGATTATTGGGAGTAGAGTGACTTCTGTAAGCCTGAGATTCCAGAACAGGTTTTTGCCATTTTGTTAGATCTAAAGCTGTGGCAAATGTGTGGTCAGAGGTAGCATTGGGGAAACATCAAAACATAGGGGTCAGTTAGACAGCCAATTTGTAGTATTGGTCTTGGACTAACTGTGGCTGGCAGAGCTCTAACTGAAGGGAAAACCGTGGTCCTCACAATGAACACTTTGGTGAAGGTAAGACTATCTCTTTAGAGTTTGGAGATGTCTTTTCTTATATTTGAGGCTCTAACATTAAAAACATTCAACTAGGGCTGGTGGAGTGGCTCAAGTGGTAAGAGAGCCTGTCTAGCAAGTGTGAGGCCCTGAGTTCAAACCCCAGTGCTGCCAAAAAAAAAACCAAAACCAAAAACAAAAACACATTCAACTAGCTCTTCTGCTCTAATTCCAGTTTACCAAATATCCTTATGATTATAATATTGCTTTTCAGGATCATCTGCTTAAAGGTGAATCTGAAATTACAGTACTGAAATTACAGTACAGGCCAAGCAAAATGTTCTGGTTTTATGACATTTGTTTTTCTCAAGCAACATTTTGTACAGTCTATCTTCAATTTGATGATTCTAAAACTGAGGTTTTAAAATTTTTAATATCTTACATATGCAAATAAAATTAAATGGGAAATGTTTTTATTCTCATAAGGAATTCTGTTTATAAATTTCCCACAACTCATTCTTTTACAAATGAAGTCAGTGAAAAAGTGTGTTTCTGTATTCTAATTAACACATCAGGATTTCTATACTAGCCTAATATGGCAAGATGAGAGATACTGGTCCTGCAAAGCTAAGACTCAGACCCAGAGACCTAAAATTTCATCTAAGCAATGACACTATCTGAGTTCCTGATCACTGCTGAACCAGTGGACATCTTCAGAGACATCTGTCTGTTAGTTTCAAGATCTGTTAACCAGGCCTTATACATAGGAGGTGGTACATAACAGTTTCACAAATTGAAAAAAAAAATCAGTTGGATTTTACTTCTCTTTCTCACCATTTTCTGAAGTAAAACTAAAGTTACTAAAGAGAAATTCATAAAAAATGAAATTCATTAATAGCACTGGATTTTGAAAAGGGTATAATTAGCAAACTGGGACAGTGGGCAATTTATAGTGGATATAAGTTAAATGGAATCAGATCAGAAATCCATAGGAACAAAAGAATCTGAAACTGCAGATGTCTGAAAGAGAAGATCAAGAAAACAACAGAACCAGGATTATCATTTGTCCTGAGAAAATACATGGCAGAAACCAATAATCACTCTAGAATTTCAGTGCAATCTAAAATTTAAATAGACAAGAATTACCAAATATTTGATGAAGACTAACAGCATGAAAGAGAAGCATCAAACTAGACCAAGGAAAAAAAAACAACTTCCAAGGAAATAGAAAAATTAAAAGTGTGTTTACTGACTAGTTTTAATATATATTATCACTCCCCCTCAAAAAAATGGGACAGTCTAAAGTCATCAGTTAGAGTAACAATGTAATTGGCAATACCTAATCCCAATTTTAACACATGGGAAGAAAATATGTCTTGACCCAGTGAAAGACTGTGAATGAGTAAAGTGGAAAGTTGAGTAAAGTGATCCTTCAGAGAGCAGCAATAAGATTTGGAAAAATTATCAGAAAGAAGTTACATGACAAAGGACATACCAGCAGATCTAGCATCTAGGAAGTAGAACTTCCACAAGGAAAGAACAGAGAGGGAAAAAGATGAAGAAAGGAGCACAAAATGAGATGAATAGTTCCTTGGATAAAAAAGTCTGAATCTTCAGGATGAAACTGCTATCTGAATGAACAGCAGGGCAAGTGAAATGGGCAGTCCAATTACTGGAAAATTCATGAACTCCGAACACAAAGAAAAAATCCTCTGTAGGCCCCAGAAAGAAAATAAACATAACCAACAAAGAGACAAGTATTTTAGCTGCATAAGAATTTTCTTAGTATATGAGGGAACTGAAACTTTACAACATGAGAAGTTGTACCAAAAAAGCTCCTTGAGGTTGTGCAGTAGGTGTAGAGAAATGAATACAGCAAAGGAGCAAATTGACCGGAAAAGGTTGTAGTGGGCAAGCCAAGTTGTAAGACTCAGAATTCATGCTAAAATCTGCCATAACACTTGATGCAATTAATAAGAAAGAATTACAATGTAGTAGAGATATGATGTTAAAAATAAAGCAAAGAGACAAACAAAAATTAGCACAATGCAAGTTGGAACAAAAATTCCAAATGATTTCAACAAAACATGAGAGAAAATGGGTAAACATAAGAGGTGGAAGAATGGGACAAATGAAAAGTTCTGATCTGGAAAGGAAAGGTAGATTATGAAAACTAGTTAGCTCTCAACTCAGAAAAATATGTTTATTTAAAAATTCAAGGTAACAAGGTGAATATATATCTTAGTATGTAATAAAGATGCACACCAGATTACTAGGGAAAAGATAGGTTTTTTCATAAAAGTATTAGGACAACTGGCTAGCCATTTGAGAAAAGATAAACTAGATCCATACTTCACAAAATACACAAGAAAAAATTCCAAATGCATCACTAATATGAATTTAAAATAAAATCAGACAATTACTGGAAAAAACAAGGGTGACCTTTTTAATAATCTGGGTGTGAGGGAAAGCTTGCTGACTGAAAATCAGATGTAGTAATAAAAAGATTGATACAATCAACCATACAAAGCACTTTTGCAAAATACTAAGGACATTCAAAAGGCAAATGCAAATATAAACCATAAACAGAGTGCTAACATTCTTAACATGTAAAGAAGTCTTAAAATGAAGAAGGCACTAAAAATCTAATAGAAAAAAAATCAGCAAAACATAGTATAGGCAGTAAACAAATAAAAAACAGTAAATGGCTATTAAAAACACTGATAACTGACCTTGCTCATTATAAGAAGGATGGATGCCAATTAAAATTATGTTAGAATACTCTTTCCTGGCTATCACACTGGCAAAAAGAATAATTGAGTCTGGCAAGTGCTCTGTTGGATATCTGTGGAGTAACAGGCATTCTCTTGTAATGCTGTTGGGAATACCAGTTGGTACAAACCTACACAGAGAAGACTGGCAATTTTTAACAGAAGTGTACATTCATTTATTTTTTTGACTTAGCAATTCTACCACTAGAAAATTACCCAAGGTATACCTCCAACAGAATGAAAGAACATATGCAAAGCTATTCATTTTAATATCACTAGTAAGAGTAAAATGTTAAAAACAACATAAATGTCCACATGCTACAGAAACTATGGTATATTCAGAGTCAAGTACAATGGTATTACAGAAAAAGCAAAGCAAAATTTCTATGTCTTGTCTAAGAATGAAACAGCATTCTACCATACACAAAAATCAATTCACGAAAACGTGAAACCATAAAACTCCTAGAATAAAATAGGGCAAATTTCCTTCATATTTGTGTTGGCAATGTTTTTGTTTTGTTGTTTGTTCCTATACCAAAAGCTCAGGAAACAAAAGCATTAAGTAAACAAACAAGACTATATCAAACCAGTATGCTTCTTCACAGCCAAAGAAAATCAACAAAATGAAAAGGCAGACTAGATTTGGAGCAAACAAGTTCAAACTATACATGTAATAAGAGGCTAATATCCAGAATATATTAGGCACTCACTAACATAATAAAAAATATATGACCTAAAAAATCAGCAAATCACCTGAATAGACATTTCTTCAAATAAGACATGCAAATGTCAGCAGATCTCTGAAAAAAATGCTCAATGTCACTAATCATCAGGGAAGTGGAAATCAAAACCCACTTATATTAAAATGGCTATTATCAAAAAATCAAGAGATAACAAGTGTTGGTGTGGATGTGAAGAAGAGGGAATTCTTGTAAACTCTTGGTGAGAATGTAAATTGGTACAGTTATTATAGAAAAAAAATTGAGATTCCTTGAAAAATTAAACATAGAACTGCCATACAAAATGAAGTCACACCTTGTAGAGACATCTACACCCTCAGGTTCACGGAGGAAGCAGTTTTTACAATAGTAGAGATTTAAAAACAATCTAAATGCCTACCAATGGATCAATAAAGAATCAGTAACGTATATAATATATACATATAAAAATTATATATACTATAAATCCTAAACATGTGAATTAAAAAATAATGACGTGGTAAAATTTACTCATTTTCAGTGTACATCTTGGTGAATTTTGCTAAATTTACATACCTGAATAACCACCACCACAACTACACACTCATAATTCTTATAATCCAAAAAAATCTGCCTTTTTCTCTATTACTATCTGAGCAGCCTTCTTCCCCCATACCCCGCACACAGGATAAGAAACCATTATCAGATTGTATATAGATT